TGTCCCGTTACATCTGGCGTAAAACCAACACAGCATTTCATAAAAAGAACATCATAGCAACAGTCAAACATGGTGGTGGTAGTGTGATGGTCTGGGGCTGCTTTGCAGCTTCAGGACCTGGACGACTTGCCATAAGTGATGGAACCATGAATTCTGCTCTCTATCAGAAAATCCTGAAGGAGAATGTCCGGCCGTCGGTTTGTGATCTCAAGCTCAAGCACACTTGGTTTATGCAGCAGGACAATGATCCAAAACACACCAGCAAGTCCACCTTTGAATGACTCAAGAAAAACATAATTAAGGTTTTGGAGTGGCCAAGTCAAAGTCCAGACTTAAATCCGATTGAGATGCTGTGGCATGACCTTAAACAGTCCATTCATGCTCAAAAACCCTCCAATGTGGCTGAATGAAAACAATTTTGCAAAGAAGAGTGGGCCAAAATTCATGTGAAAGCCTCATTGCCAGTTATCGCAAACGCTTGATTGCAGTTGTTACAGCAAAGGGTGGCACAACCAGTTATTAGATTTCAATTTAAAAAAAAAAAAAAAAACCGGAAGGGGGCAAAAACTCTCACATCCACTGTATATGAAATTATTGGATATCAGTAAAATGACTTGTTTAAAAAATATATATATTATAGCACATACAAATCTTGTTCTGCAACCTATGTGTATATATATATATATATACACACACACACAGAGTGTGGTTTTTATATTGATATGATTTTTTGCTATGTTGTGTAATTGTTAGCTCATGTCATATTTATTTCTATAGTGTGTTCACAATACAGATTATTTAAAAGCAGATTTACAGTTATATTGTAGCAGAAGGTCATACTGTTGTGTTTATAATGTCTTTAAATTCTCACTGAACAGATTCATAAAAAAAGCATGGTTAAAAGTGCCTTAATGCATTTCTATTTGTCCTCTCTAGACCGTTTAAATAATTATTTTTATATTAAGAATGTTGTTGTGTTGGTTAAAAACCAAAAGCCCTTTTCTGTCAAATTTTCAGTGGATTTTTTTACCACTAATTTTGACCAACTGAGTCACGATGAGCCCATTAAAAGAATTAAAATTAGAATTAATTTGCATAATATCCCAGCAGAGGGAATCGGCTAAATACAGAAGTGTTGCATATTTATGAACTGCATTATTGTAGTTGTTGTTTGAGCCGAAGTCAGGTTGGCCCTTGAATGTCTTGGGGAAATGAAGACCGAAAAACAACTAAAGCATATAAAAATACCTCACAAACATCGTTCTTTTGCATGCAACCGTTCATCTTTTCAAACATGATGTTTATGGAGCCTGAGTTTTTCATTGAATAGTTCAGTCTTCATTTCAGTTGTATATGTTTGAGTGCATCGGGGGGGTTGTGCTAATAAATTATTCCTGCTGGTGATTTGTGCTTCACAGACCGCCCTGCTACTCCTGTCAATGTCTCCGTTACTCACCTGCGGGCAGATTCGGCCACCGTGTCCTGGAATATTCCGGAGGGAGAGACCGTAATTGGCTTTGCCATCTCACAGCAGGTCAAAGTTATTACAATGAGATGCAGCCCTGGGGCGTTATTATAATAGCATAGGGTGACCATACGTGCCATTTTCCCAGGACGCGTCTTGGCCAGGATTTCTATATTGCCTAAAATATCTAGGTTTTGGCTTTGTTTGCGTGTGCAGACCGATTGGTGTATGACATCAAAATTCACAGAGAGCATTTTGAAAGCATAAGGAACCGTCTGTATGGTATTTTGATGTCATACACCGATCGGTCTGCACACGCAAACAAAGCCAAAATCTAGATATTTCAGGCAATATAGAAATCCTGGCCAGGACACGTCCTGGGAAAATGGCACGTATGGTCACCCTATAATAGCAGAAGTCTGACATTTAATATCAGCAATAAATTTACCCTCTGATGAATCTTCATGTGCTTGGACTTAAACGAACGTGTGTGTGTTTTAGCGTCAGGACGGGTTGATGCAACGTTTCATTCGTGAGGTGAACACGACCAGTCGTGCTTGTATACTTTGGGATCTGGATGAAGACACGGATTATATTATCCAGGTCCAGTCCGTCGGACTCTATGGAGAGAGTCGGGCCAGCAAAAAGATTCACTTCAGGACACTTAAAAAGTCTGAACATATTCAATCCACCATGATGGATCAGGGTAAACATGTCTGTTGGTTATTTTTTTTTTTTTATTGGATCATATACAGCATTAGTACAGTATCATTCATTTAATAAAGTACATTTCACATTTTTATTGTGAAATATCACTTTAACATGGAAGCCCATTTCTGCCACGGAATTAAAAAAATTAAACGGGCTTCCATACTTTAAGAAGTCAATTAAAAGATTCGACCACCGAAAGCTCATGAAATCAAACACTTTGGTGGCTCAGAAAACCCAAACTCAGCAAAAATATGCAATTTGGTTCAGTTGCTGATATTTATATGGCCAAAAATTAAGATGAAGTTCTTATAGTGTGTAATGTAAATCAATGATTAGTGTTTTTATTAATTATCCTATTAAATGGGAAGTTTTTGTGCAGCTCAAAGCTAACAGCCATGATCTGTTTCGTGAGTTTTTAATAAGTAGCATCATTTATTAATTCTCTTCAATCCTCTAACATGTTGTTGTCTTGTTTACCTGATCAGATGACCCTGCGGTTGAGGGTTTAGACCTTTCCAGACACCTGCAGACTGGAGAGATACTGATCATTATGACTGTACTGCTAATGTGGGCAGGTAAAGGGTGTTGTGTTGGATTTAGTTACACATAATCATGATGAACAAGAAATATTCTGGTTGCAATGATATTCATGATATTGACTACAAAAAAAGGAAATAATTTTGACTTGTCCTTCCTCCTGTAAAGCCTGACATATAAAGTAATAGTCAGGAAAAATTATATATATATTTATTATTTTTTTTTTTTCATGTAATGGTTTATAGAACCTTTAGGCAAAATAAACAGTATATGTGACCCTGGGCCACAAAACCAGTCATAAGGGTAAATTTTTCAAAATTAAGATTTATACATCATTTGAAAGCTAAATAAATAAGCTTTCCATTGATGTATGGTTTGTTAGAATAGGACAAAGTTGCCGACATACAACTATTTGAAAATCTGGAATCTGAGGGTGCAAAAAAAAAAAAAAAATCCAAATATTGAGAAAATCGCATTTAAAGTTGTCTAAATGAAGTTCTTAGCAATGCATATTACTAAAAAATTAAGTTTTAATATTTATGGTAGGAAGTTTACAAATCTTCATGGAACATGATCTTTATGTAATATCCTAATGATTTTTGGCATAAAAGAAAAATCGATAATTTTGACCCATACAATGTATTCTTGGCTATTGCTACAAATATACCCCAGCAACTTAAGACTGCTTTTGTGCTCCAGGGTCACACATACATGTGTGTATATATATATATATATATATATATAAGTTTGCATATACGTTTTTTTGAGTAGGAGTTATACGAGTCTCACATCAGAGAATATGGAGCTATGTATGTGTATGATTAAAATATGTATGGATCATCAGGTAAACCTTACACCGCAAAAAGCCATGTGAACCATGATCGGAAGGAGGATGTTTTTACAATTATACATGCTAAAAAAAGAATAAACTATCAATCAGATGACAGAAGGCATGCAGGGGACCGGTTTTTCAGCAAAGTTTTGATCGTGCTGATAATTTAGAGACCTTAATACAAATATGATGCAGTAGGGTTTTGAATGCGGAGTTTCCGTTTATCAGAGCTGTAACATTCTTTTAAACTTCTCAGATCTGCATTCAATACATTTTGGCATCATTGAAATATTTTCCTAAAGTTGCAGAACACTAGGCCTACCTTGTTGATTTTACGATGAGTTTAAGAAAACGTTCTCCTTTCAAACTCAATTGGAATGTCTAGATGGATGATAATGTGTTGTTTTAATTAAACCTATCAGATCTGCATCCCGTAATCAAGCTGATCTCTGTCTCGCTGCAGCTGTGATCGTGCTCTTCTGTAAGCAGTACGATATCATCAAAGACAACGACTCCAACAGCCACAGTAAAGAGAAGAGCAAGCCACTGTCCGGCCAGAGCACTCCAGAGTATCAGAACGGAGGCCTGCTGGGCAGCAAGGTGAGACCTTCACCACTGATCACATATGGTTTTAATCAGCATGTGAACATGCTTTTTATGCATTCAGCAAATATATATATCAAATAAAATAGTTGCATTTTAATTAAGATTTATGTAAATGTCTTCACTCTTAGTAGCCTGATCAAATAATAAGTCCAACAGAGATGTTAAAAATCACACTTCATATTACTTTTGGTTGATTTGTCACTTTGGAAATGTATGGTTAAATGTGACCCTGGAGCAGAAAAACAGTCTTAAGTCGCTGGGGTATATTTTTAGCAGTAGCCAAAAAAAAAAACTGTATGGGTTGAAATTCTTTTTTTTTTTTTTCTTTTTTTTATGCCAAAAATCATTAGGGTAAAGATCATGTTTCATGAAGATATTTAGTAAATTTCCTACCATAAATATCAACTTAATTTTTTATTAGTAATATGCATTGCTAAGAACTTCATTTGGACAACTTTAAAGGCAATTTTCTCCCTTTTTTTTTAATTTTTAATTTTATTTTTTTTTGCACCCTCAGATTCCAGATTTTCAAATAGTTGCATCTCGGCCAAATATTGTCCTATCATAACAAACCATACATCATATGAAAGCTGAATAAATAAGCTTTCCATTGCTGTATAAATCTCAATTTCGAAAAATTGAACCTTATGACTGGTTTTGTGGTCCAGGGTCACAAGTCTATAATTCCATGATATACATTCTCATTCTCCAGAATACACAATCTAAAATATTTGATTTTGTCAGAATATATGGCTACTTTGTTAACAGGCTGTACTTTATGTCTGCATATTGCATATTACATTGCAGTACAAAGTATTGTATACTGCATGATTTTAAAAATGCAGTAGGTTCTGTATTCTGTATATACAGAAAATTTGGTTACGCTTTACAATTATGTCCCATAGTTAATGCATTTACTAACATCTGTACTTTATGTCTGCATATTGCATATTACATTGCAGTACAAAGTATTGTATACTGCATGATTTTAAAAATGCAGTAGGTTCTGTATTCTGTATATACAGAAAATTTGGTTACGCTTTACAATTATGTCCCATTAGTTAATGCATTAACTAACATTTACCATACAATTTGTTACAGTATTTATTCATCTTTGTTAACATTAATGAATGTAAATAAAGTTAATAAAAATATTATGCTTTGCTGTTCGCTCATTCTCGTTAGCTCGGGTACATTAAATAATATTAACGTATAAAACTTTTGATTTTAAACTAACAAATACAACTTTTGATTTTGATAATATATTAGTAAACATTAACTAAGATTATTAAATGCTTTTGAAGTATTCTTCATTCTTAGTTAGTTCGTGCATGTTAACTTCTGTACTTGACAAATGTTAATAAATGGAACCTTACAATAAAGTGTTAACAAAAATTGCTTTAAAAATGTTTTTATTGTTAGTTCATGTTCATTTGGTTACGCTTTACAATTATGTCCCATTAGTTAATGCATTAACTAACATTTACCATACAATTTGTTACAGTATTTATTCATCTTTGTTAACATTAATGAATGTTAATAAAAATATTATGCTTTGCTGTTCGCTCATTCTCGTTAGCTCGGGTACATTAAATAATATTAACGTATAAAACTTTTGATTTTAAACTAACAAATACAACTTTTGATTTTGATAATATATTAGTAAACATTAACTAAGATTATTAAATGCTTTTGAAGTATTCTTCATTCTTAGTTAGTTCGTGCATGTTAACTTCTGTACTTGACAAATGTTAATAAATGGAACCTTACAATAAAGTGTTAACAAAAATTGCTTTAAAAATTTTTTTATTGTTAGTTCATGTTAACTAGTGTAGCAAACTAATCTTAGCCAATGGAACCTTAAGTATTACTGAATTTCTTTAGAGCAATTTTTCATTGTTAGTTAATGCTTACTAATATACAGTGGGTACGGAAAGTATTCAGACCCCCTTAAATTTTTCACTCTTTGTTATATTGCAGTTTTACTCTTTTGTAGTTCCAAAGGACATCATCCTCTGTCAGCATCATCAAGGTTTAACCACAGCATCATCACGGATCCTGCTCTGTCAGACCTGTCGGCGGATATCAGCTCTTCTGATATTCAAGCGTTAAAGGCAATAGTAACGTGAACCTCTCGGCTCCCTCAGCCACATCGGGAATTGTAAGGTAGTATACGGGCATTCAGTAGTACAGTATACTCCAATAAACAACAATGCCCTGGACAATGAACATACTGTACTTCTTTGACTAATACATCAACTGTAATCATGGAAGGCGCTATCGGTGCTACGAATATGATTGTGAAAACACTGGCTGCTGTGTGTGTGTGTGATTGAAAGAGGACTAATAAGTGTACCAAATGTGGCATTTCTCATTAATACATGTAAATTATGACAAATTCATCATCAGCCACAGAAGTGGCCTTAAAATATGCATTATTAACTTCTAACCGCAGTGAACAGTATATCATTGGCTTATTTTGTTTTTATTAAGTATTAACACCGTTATTAATTGTTTCACACCCATGTAGAGTTGATTGTTGACTGTTCAACAGTGAGGTTCACAGCAGATCCAGTGCAGGAGTGTGCGTGTTCATAAGAAATGGTTTTGTGTGAGCATTTCTATGTCAAACTAGTTAAAGTTTCTGTTTTGAGCTTGTCAATTTAAGGAGTTGGTAAAACCATACTATGGTATTGTAATGTGCATAGTTCAGAAACTATTTTTTATATAAAATTGCTTTAAAAATTGCAGTAATACTTAAGGTTCCATTGGCTAAGATTAGTTAGCATGAACTAACAATAAAAAATGTATTTTCTTACAGCATTTATTAGCTTTTAGTATTAGTAGTTAATATGTTTGTCCTATTATTTATTTATTCATTTATTGAGAGGCAGAAGAATCATTTTATATTTTATATATATATATATATATATATATATATCTCATCGTAAGTATGATTAAAAATATATAATCCATGATTTTTTTTTTTTTTTTGTGTTTAGGAAATTATATCAAAAATTCTAACAATAAAAAATATGTTTTTAAAGCAATTTTATATAAAAATATATATTTTTTATTTTTTTGTTCTTCGTTCTCCAACTGAGAAGTTTTGATTAAGTTATATATAGTAAATTAGCTAAACATAGCTGTAGTTTTGGGCAATAGATAATGTAGTTTCTAAACTGTCTTGCAAAACTTAGAAGGGACGTTTGTTAATATTCTTGTTCTCAATCCTGCTTTCCAATAAATGAAAAACCATGAGCTTTGTCTGTCTGTTTGTTTGTCCTATTATTTATTCATTTATTGAGAGGCAGAAGAATCATTTTATATATATATATATATATCATCGTAAGTATGATTAAAAATATATAATCCATGATTTTTTTTTTTTGTGTGTGTTTAGGAAATTATATCAAAAATGTATCTTTGTGTGTATATATCTAATGTACGTATGACTAATCTACAATATTTAATATAATCCATGATGACATTTTTTAACTTAAGTGTTTAAGAAATTATACAAGTTAAAAAAAAATTTATCCTAATTTTCAATAAATGGAAAACAATTAAATTTGTCTGTTTATTCTTTTAGAGAGGCAGAAATATTATATTATACCTTGAAAAAACTGATATAAATTAGTGCTGTCAAATGATTAATCGCGATTAATCACATCCCAAATAAAAGTTTTTGTTTACATAATATATGTGAATGTACTGTGTACATTTATTATGTATAGGCTATATAAATACACATGTATGTATTTACATGCATATTCTTATTTATAAATATATTTAATATATAAACAACATATTTTTCTTAAATCTATACATGCATGTGTGTGTATTTATATATATATACACAGTACACACATGCTGTAAACAACTTTTATTTTGAATGCGATTAATCGCATTTAATTGTTTGACAGCACTAATATAAATACATATAATCTGTAAAGGCTTTTTTGACGTTTTAAGTGTTTAATAAATTATGATAGATAGATAGATTAGAGCGCTGCTGTACTCGGACTGTCCAGTAGGTGTCGTTTAACCGTTTAACCGGTTTCACGCTGAACTCTTTCAATCACTTCCTGTGCTGCACATTCCCATCACAACAACTCCAGCAGCAATGAAGCTTGCACACTTTCACTTCTTCAACACATGGAGACACTTTACAGGGATACAAATCCACATGGACGAATAATTCTTCATGGAGAGACGCTGATATTCCCGCTGCTGGCTGTCCGGAGGTTATAAACACTGGACTTTTATTGCATCTTCTCTTTTTGGGCTAGCTAGTCGTGCTAGTTAGCCTTCGACTGATAACACAAATTATATCCAACATATCTTACTTTTTTCATTGATGTGGATTAATAACAGACTCGAGACGCCAGTGTCGCAACTTCGTATAATCGTATATGACAGCGTTTCTGCAGTTTTGTCTATGAATTATGTATGCAGTTTAATATTAGCTCACGCTAACTGAAATCATAACAGTGCAATTTCAGCTGTTTGGTTATGATTTTTGGAGATACACAGTATTAAACGTGTTTAGTTCGGGGTTTATGAGTGATTTGAGGAACTCTTTGTTCGGGAGAGGAAGAGGAAAATGAGGAAGAGGAAGATGGTGGTGGTGATGAAGATCAGCTCAACAGGGAACTGCTGATTATAAACAGACGCATTCAGAAAAATGCCTAGAAGAAAACAGTCGAACCCACAGCCTGTCAAATGTAAGTCTGGATTTCTATCTCACCTGAATTCACTTCAATTCAGTTCAGTTTGACTGTGTTTACTTCTGTTGATGGTTATTAATAAGAGCGTAGAAATGGCATGTTGATGCCCACATTCAGTCTGCCTCTAGTTATTTGATGAGCTCATTCAGACATTTCTGGCTATTTTAGTTCACCAGCTTCATCTTCTACTGGTGAAAATCAGCAGCGTATATTTCATATTTAGGGAACTGTCCACTCCAGAGCCTGTCAAATGTAGGTTTAGCAGATCTCCTGATTTCTATCTCTGTAGTTGTACTGGATTTGACAGTGTCTTCTGCTTTATGTTGCAATAAAACTCCTGCTCTTCATGTGTTTCATAATTTCACTGTTGAAATAAGTGTTAAGAAAATGGCCAAATATCAGTGTCTGATGTAAATATCGATATATTTCAGGGAGTAGTCATTTTGAGACTATTCACATGACTGATTATGACTAATCTTTATTTCAGTTATGAATAGTCAAAAGCATTATATTAACAATAGCTAATGTTTTAAATAATATATATGATTTTGTACTAATAACATATTATATATATATACGACATACACACACACGAATATACATAGATATATACATATTTGAGACAATATTATTTACATGGCCAATTATGACATTAGTCATTAGTCCAATTTTAAATAGTTGAAAGCATTATTATTATTACTACTACTAATAATAAAAACAATAATAATAAAGACTATTTTTAATATTAATTATTTAGTTCACCAGCTTCATCTTCTACTGGTGAAAATCAGCAGCGTATATTTCATATTTAGGGAACTGTCCACTCCAGAGCCTGTCAAATGTAGGTTTTGCAGATCTCCTGATTTCTATCTCTGTAGTTGTACTGGATTTGACAGTGTCTTCTGCTTTGTTGCAATAAAACTCCTGCTCTTCATGTGTTTCATAATTTCACTGTTGAAATAAGTGTTAAGAAAATGGCCAAATATCAGTGTCTGATGTAAATATCGATATATTTCAGGGAGTAGTCATTTTGAGACTATTCACATGACTGATTATGACTAATCTTTATTTCAGTTATGAATAGTCAAAAGCATTATATTAACAATAGCTAATGTTTTAAATAATATATATGATTTTGTACTAATAACATATTATATATATATACGACATACACACACACGAATATACATAGATATATACATATTTGAGACAATATTATTTACATGGCCAATTATGACATTAGTCATTAGTCCAATTTTAAATAGTTGAAAGCATTATTATTATTACTACTACTAATAATAAAAACAATAATAATAAAGACTATTTTTAATATTAATTAAAAAAAATGTGGTCCCTCTGTACATTAGATGTCTTTAACTACTTATGTCTAAATAATTAATAATATAATAATAATAATAATAAATAATTTATAAAAAATGTATAACAAATAATTGACTTTCTGTCTGTGTGTATCTCTCTCTTTTATAGTGGATATATTTTGTTGTTAAGTCACATGTCCTTCACTGTAAAAAAATGACTGTGAATTTAACGGTAAAAGACTGTAAAAACGCTACAGTAAAAACCTGTTAAATGGTTAACGGTAAATCCCCCTACTATATACGGTAAAAAACTGTATTGGACATTACATGTATTGGACATTAATTTTACAGTTTTCTTATCATTTTGTATATTAGGGTTGTGTGTTACACCTAATGTTGTTAAATGAATGTTTATTGCATTATTTCAGTTTCATGTGTGTTACCGTGATGGTGTTTAGTGTTTGTGTGAATGACACTGTGCACCTTCTATATATGTTATTATTTAAAAGCTGCTTGTGATGGGCTCTGGTTCATCATGTGACTTTCTCATCACCTCCTGCATTTGGAGGTTATCAGTGTATTACAAAGCTACAAAACAGATTTCAGTACTTCAGTAGGTTGGTATATTAACATTATATCAGTTAATGAAATTACGGTATTTAACTGTAAATTTAAGTTAAAACCATAAAACCTCAAACGTTGCTACCGTATTTTTTTACGGTAAATTTTACGGATTTTTTTTTTACAGTGTTGGTTTCCGTGGGTTTTTTTTTTCTTTACTGATTCAATTTTTTCCCCCACTGTATTTTCACTCCATTAAATAGATTTTTGCGGCACTTCATTGTTGAAATAATGTCTGTGTCCATTTCTGTCAAAATTAATATTGTAGATCATGTGGTTTTTGTTGAATAAACACAAGTCTAACTGTTCCTTTAGATTGAAAACAGCTCTTTTTAGTTCCTCTAGAGCAGGGGTGTCAAACTCAGTTCCTGGAGGGCCGGAGCCCTGCAGAGTTTTATTCCAACCCTGCTCCAACACACATACCATGAAGTTTACAAATAAGCCCGAAGGACTTGATTAGTTGGATCAGGTGTGTTTAATCTAAACTCTGGAAGGCTCCGGCCCTCCAGGAATTGAGTTTGACACTCCTGCTCTAGAGCTTTTATATTAGATCTAAAGGAAATAGTTTGAGTTTCCAAAGCCCTTGTTTAATGTTGAGCTACGTGTCTTTAAGAATCAGCTCTATCTCAGTGAACACATATCGGTTTTCCCCTCTTCTGTCGTCATTTTTTCCTCACTGCGTTTCCTCAGGACAGACCCCTGTTCCTGCCGCGGGACCCATCTCTGACCCGACTGCCTCCGTTTATCTGCCATCTCTCCACTGTTCCTTCCTCCTTCATTTATTCCTAGCATATTTTTTCCCTCATTCCAGAGCTCCAGTGCTGATAACCGTCAGTCTTATCACTGTATGAGTCTCTCATACCCATTTAGTGGATATGACTGACTGAGAATCATATACAGATAAGCTACATCTAAGGCTTCTTCTAGAATGTGTAATATCCATACAATTCATTTGTATGATCAGATAATGTTAAGATATAGTTTTCAGTTACCTATGGCGATATCAGTAGAACAAAGAGGCCGATATATTGCTGCTAT